AACTCTCCCTCCTAAGACTGGATTATGTAGACTAATGGTTTATTAAGACAAAACTCTTTCCTATATCTTATCTTACCATAACGGAAACATACCATTTTTTCATAAACAATGGATTGTTTGATTTGCTTTTTCCTTCCATATTAACAAAGCTCTTTAACGGTCTATCTAAGTTAACTTGGACACATAAACGAGTGAATCTCCCTTGCCCTTCTGAAAGAGTGTGACTGTCAATCTTGAAAAGTCCACTTATACGGCTTCCTATTTTTGTTAAAATCTCATAATCATAATATTCAATGGGTAACTCTGGTAGTCTTGCCCAAACTGCCATAGATGAGAATGAAGCTTCAAAAGCTCTTAAGTTTGGAGACTATTTCCTATTGGCAAGAAACCATCTACCCACAAACCACGGTTTCTCCTTGCTTACATAGTTATAATCTTCCATGTTTTGAAACTTTATGATAAAGAAATGACTTCCTAGATCACGGGATAAAGCTTACCTTGGGTTTTTCAAATCTGATTAAGCTTAAATATCAAATACTGGTGACCAACGTTCTTCCCAAATACTTTAACAATCAAGGTCTTGATCCATTTTGATCAAATTCTCTTTTTTTCTTCCTTGGAGAGGGTAATATTGATCTCCTTTAACCCCACACTTGCTTCTTGCTCCTAGGACTCATCATAGTGTCTGCCTCCATGTTGTCAACCTCATTCTCCTAGAAATGTTGTTCGTAAGCTCTATAGAAAGCACCAAGGAGTGAGTCTTTGTAAGAAATGCCTTTCCTATGCATGCTAGCTGATGACTATTCCACTTGGTGAAATTTCACTTTGCGAGTTGTTTCATTGGAGTGGATATCCTTAACTCTTTTTGTGCTAAGTTGCAGCTCCTCTTTTTCTTAATTGAGTTTAGTAACACTAGTTTCCATTTTATTCTAATTTAACCTTTAAGTAACCATGTTTTAATAGTGAGTTTTCTCCTTGTACCATTTAATTATGGATTGTTGCCAGTTTATTCCCACCAATGTAAGGTGAAGTTGGTTCATTTTACCTACCTTTTTTATTGTTTCCAATATGGCCAATAGTGCATCTCAAGGGTTATACATTTGAAGTCTCATCAGTTAGGTTTAGCACCATTGTTTGCAGTGTATTTGGCCCTATTTACTATTATTTCCTTCCTAATTTTTGGAGATTTCGAAGCTTAATATTTATATTAGCACTTACAGAAATCAAGAAGTTTTTTGAAAGAGAAAGGACAAAACGATTCATCATTGAAGACAAAGAACCCAGGCCTGGAGTTTGAAAAAGATTTAAGGCTGGTTATTACAGATGCATCAACTTATCATAAAGGCATCATCTATTTAATTCAAAATTTTAATTAAGTTAGTTCGTATAGTTATCTTAAAAAATAATATTTAATAAATTTAAAATTTAAATCTTAAAATTTATAATTTATTTTTTTATTTTTTATTACGACTTTTTTTTTAAAAAAAAATTATCATCGGCCTTACTTCCAACCAACTTTCACTCGTAAAACAATTTTCAATCGTAACTTCATCTTAATAAAACAATTTTCAATAGATATAAGATATTATTATATTCAATATAAAAAAATTAAATTAATAAACTGAACAAACTACAAAATCAAAGTAAAAAATGTATTTGTGTTAAACGTGAATGGTTGAAAAAAGTCATACATTAATCAATAAAAAAGAGAAAATAAATATTATACATATTTATACTTATAAAAGTATTTGTTAACTATTATTTTTTATATTAAAATAATTATAAATATATTCAAAACAATTAAAAACTAATAAATAATAGTCCATCAAGTGTAGCCAGGGTTAATTCAATGAATTCAAATGTTAGCATATGTCTATTTGATAATTATGTTAACTACAACACATAGACATGTGATAATTTTATAATCTTGTAAATAAAGTTTAAAATTTTCATTGTAAGTATATTATTGGTTTTATTTTTTATTTTTTAAAGTAACGTTCATGTTTTTGTTAAAATATGGATCGCATAAAAAATGGATCTAAGCCCATTAGTTTATCATAGGCACATGACTAGAGATGGTATCGGTTCGGGTTCGGGGCGGGTTTTACTCGCCCCGAATCCGACCCGATTTTTTGATCATCAAACTCAACCCCGACCCGACCCGATCCGACCCGACAATATGTAAATCGTACTCGATCCGACCCAATCCGAAATTAATAAAATATTATTTTTTAAAATATAAAATATTATTTTTAAATATAAATATTTAAAAATATTATTATATAAATATATATAAATAAATAATAATTAATTAATTAAAAAATAATTTTTTAATAATGTCGGGTCGGGTAGGGTCGGGTTTTAGGCATACCCGAACCTGACCCGACCCTGACTATTACCTAAATTTATCCGACCCGACCCCGACCTGAAACCCGAAATTCAAAAAAAAAACCCGACCCTATAGGGTAGGGTCGGGCCAAAACCCGTCGGGGACGGGCTTGATTGCCGTCCCTACACATGGCTTAACTTGTAATATGAATTAAGTTAAAATTTTATTTTTAATAGGATTGTACGACTATATTATTAGCATGTATTTGGTAAATAATATTATGATAAGATATAATAAGATAATATTACGAATAAAATAAAATAAAATAATATAATTATATTTTGTGTTTGATGCATACAAAAATTATGATAGAATAATTTACAAAAATTAAGATAAAATAATTTATTTTTTAATCAAAATTATTTTTTTAAGTTTATATAATTTAAATTTTTATTATTATAATTTTAAGGGTATAATAAAAAATATAAATTTAATCTCATGGATTAAAAATAATCTTTTCTATTTTGAAAGGATTAATTACTTTATTGGTAGAAGATGATTCAATTTTTCTTGTAATCCTATCTATTTTTTTAAGTACAAACCAAACATAAATATTTAATAATTATCATCTTATATACCAAACATAATTTTATAAATTTATATATTCATAATAAGATTATAATATGCATTATACAAATATACACATATATTTGTGAAAATTAAAAAATAGTGTGAATCCCTATTATATTATAGAAAAGTTATCTTTTAAACTCTTTTTCTCTAGTTTTATGGTTATGCATAAAAAATTTATTGGAATCGGCGTGCAAGAAATTGTTCAAAAGTAAATAAAGTAGTAAATAAATTGATTTTAAAAATTTAGATTGACATTAGAGCAAGTAAACCTCTTCGAGGGTTGGGTTACTTGATTAAGTTTTGAGATAATTTAGATAAAAAAATTAAAATTTGTTAAATAAATTTGGATACAAATTTTAGGTTTATTTAAATTTTAGATTGATTTTTAGACAAAAAATTTAAAGCTCAAGCGAGGCTTGACTCGACCTGAATTTATATATCTATAAATTTTATTTTTATTTGTATATATATGTAAATTATATATAAATTAATTTACATATATAAAAATAAATAATAAAAAATATTTTATTATACTTAATTTTTATTTTTAATATATATATATATATATATATATGAATTAAATATAATTTCATTAAATTTAATTTAATCACACTTTTTTAAAATTTTTATTACATATATTAGTTTAATAGGTGGGTTTGAAAATTTTTTTTTTTAATTTGGGTTAAGCTTAAAATTTTTTTTAAATCTAAAATTTTGAGTCAGATCAAATTTAATTAAATATATATATCAAATATAAATTCAATTCAAGCCTAATCGACCGGACCTATGAACATTTCTAAGAGCAAGTAATTTTATGATTTAAAAAAAATGAAGTTATTATTCATACTTCTTTGTTTTTATTATTCCCTAAACTTTTTTTTTTGTCTGGAAAAGGAGTATTATTCCCTAAACATTTGGATTTATTAAGAATTGCTTTTTTTTAAAACTCAAGCAAGTAAGCCTTGTCGTTTTAAATTGGCCGCTTGTCCTGTAAATTTAAAGTATAGTTTAGCCCTTCAAATTTGGGCTTTTATGGTAATTAAATAGTAAGTGCAAGATTCAAATTTTCAAAACATTATTAAATTGGCCCAATAGGATTTAAATTTATTAGACCCAGCCCAACTAACTTGCCCTAACGGTATAGTTATTTTTATTTTCTTTCTGTTGTTACTTGTCGAGCATCTAAACCTAACCGACTTAATCATCTTTAGAAGCAGCCGCTACTTTACAGCAATTTGATTAAAAGCTCTTCTAAATAAACTTTCCGGTTAAACAGATTGCACCTTCGATATCCAGATAACTCTTATTTTCCTGGTTAAAATCAATGCTTTAATCGTCATTATGGTGTGGTCTTTTTTTTTTTTTTTTGTAGTTTTCTTTTGTTGATAACGTTTCCATGTTTCATAGGTATTTGAAATTTTCTAAAGCAATATTGTTTGTTTCGTGTTGATGAATTAACTGAAATAAAAAAAAAAAACTTTTTTTTTTTATAAATTGACTTAGTTTTGAAAAAATCTGTTTTTTTTTTTTTTTTCTTTTTCAGCTTTCAACCAATTAAACTTAAAAAAAAAAAAAGAGGATAACATCTCGATTCCAGACTTAAATTTGTTTTTTATTTATCTCTATATGTTTGAATTAAAAATATATAACCTTTACTTAATGTTTTAGTGGAAGGTTAGATATCTTTGCTAAATTCTGATAATTTTCTACTTATTGTCTATTACAATAGGATAATAGTGACACTGTGGAAGATGATATTGGCATTGAGGATGAAATTGAGAATGGTGGATCTGAGAGATATATGCAACTGAACGCTAATTATTTATTAATTTGATAATTACAAAAATAGTAAAATTGATGATGTGGTAATAAATTAAAATTAGGGATAATTTTAATCTATTGGCATAGATATATAGATTTTGATTTGTATTTTTATGAGATTATATATTATGAAAAATTATTAGTTACATTGTCAAAAAATTTTTTCATTTTACAAATGAAATTAAAATAAAGATATATCTTTTATTTTTTCAATTAAAATTTTTAAACAGATAAAAGATAATATATTTTATAATTTCTCATATACGGTTATATACTACTTATGAGGTTATATACTATTATTGACATGTTGGCCCCTTCAGTAAAAGACTAATTTCTTGTAGAGCTTCTTTGTTCTATGCGGCGTTTAACTTGCAGCTTTCTAGGCAAAACTTCTGCAACGATTCGGTTGCTTTTACATGATACTTCAACGGAAAACCAAAGCCTTGCCTTGTTTCGCTTCTACACATCAGGTTCAACCTCCTCCAGCCCAAGCTTATCGATATGGAGGCGGAAGAAAGAAATGACCAAAGAGGGCTTGATTGCAGCCAAGGAGCTCAAGCGCCTCCAATCCAACCACATACGACTGGACCGCTTCATCCGATCCCACATCTCTCGCTTGCTCAAATCCGATCTCTTATCTGTTCTCGCCGAGTTCCAAAGACAAGACCAGGTTTTTCTCTCCATGAAGGTACTCTTTTTGTTTTTGTAGAAATATCCCCTGGAGAAGGATGCATAATAAAATTAAGTTATCAAAATTTTCTAGGTTTAGTTTGTGGGATAATGGATAAATTGGCTTAAGGTAAACATGATGATCTTTTCCCAGTTATAAAGACAACTAAGCAAGAAAAGAAGATTACAAATCAAATACTACCATATGCTTCAATGTTTCTTACTAGTTTTAAATTTGGATTTCCTGACTCCATGGACTAAGAAGTAGCAAATTATACTGATTTATTCTTATATACTCCCGTTTAGTTTGAGAGATAATGAAGGTGAATTCAATCTTTACACTATACTTCAACATATCACATATTCAAGTCCCACCATCTGAGTTCGTTGTTGTTTTGTTAATTTGACTTGTTTATTGATTTATTCTACTTGGTGTATGTTAAAGGGTATTTGACAGTGATTGTAATTACTGGACTACTGGTACATGTAATTTCATCAAGAAAAAAGTTGTGAATCTTGATTCTGATGCTTAATAGCCATCTAAGGTAAAATTTGTTAACAGTTGCAACTGATGTGCTTCCATCGAAATTCTAGCTGCATTATACTGAAAATGTCATTACTCCTTAGTAGATTCAAAAATAGATGCTTGTAAATTATTCTGTTACATCTTTATTTCTAAGATATATATTTTTTTCAGTTATATGATGTGGTTCGTAAAGAAATATGGTACCGGCCAGATATGTTCTTTTTCAGGGATATGCTTATGATGCTTGCTAGAAACAAAAAGGTAGATGAATCAAGGCGGGTTTGGGAAGATTTGAAAAGAGAGGAAGTTTTGTTTGATCAGCATACCTTTGGAGACCTTGTCAGAGCATACTTAGATAGTGGACTACCATCAGAGGCCATGGACATATACGATGAAATGAGACGATCCCCTGATCCTCCTTTGTCTTTGCCTTTTCGAGTAATTCTGAAGGGGCTCCTTCCTTACCCAGAACTGAGAGAGAAGGTCAAAGATGATTTCTTGGAGCTTTTCCCAAACATGATTGTGTATGACCCACCTGAAGATTTGTTTGGAGATCAAGAGTCCCAAAGGGAGAGTGAAAGTGAGTAGCGTTTGCTGGTTATTACCTAGGTTTGCTTAACAAGGGATGATGCTAGTCCTCGGGTTTAAAAGGGGTTTGGGTCAATGCTGATGGCAGGTAAGAGAGAACCTGTTGAGTACTCCTCTCTTTTGATGTTATGATTTGTGAAGCATTTTGAAAGGTCTTAGGCCTTTGTATCTGGGGAATTATTTCTCTAACCAAGAATTGGGGCAATACTGCAGTATGCATTTTTGAACGAATTGATATACAGTCTGAACATTCCAATACCAATTGCAGCTTTTAAAATTATGGTAGTTTACCTTTGCATCTGTTTCTTCAAATGGGTGTTACAATTAATATTCAAATTTGCTGCAATACATTATCCTCCTTTATATTGTTTATACTTACATGGTTGTGATCATCTGAAAAATAATTATTCAGTATTGTTTTGCGTTAAGGTTAATGGTCAAATTTCTTCACTTGCCTTGGCCATTGCTAACTATTCTTCAGAGAATCTTCCGGTGCTGTTGATCAACAACCCTCTTTTTTTTTTTTTTTAAGTTATTAATTTATCCTTAAATCTTCTCTATCCAACTACTACATATTTAATTGAAAAAAATATTACTCGTCTAAACTCTCTGCAATTCGCAATTATCAACAACAAGATGCTTTTCTATGGACTGATACCATGGCATTTCTATTGTGCATGGCCTCAGGCCGGTCTATACAAAGGGTTTGGGTTCCTCTCCTTCCTACTGTCGCGGTATACCTTGTAATGGGCTCACTAGGCCTGCATGTCTCGTGACTCCAATTTAGATTCTGCCTAAATTGCTTGACCTTTTCAATCCGTTTTTCCCCCTGTTTTCTAATTCAAGGGAAAAAAAATGGGTTAAGTCCAGGAACGACTCACTTCACACCTCCACTCATGATGAGTTCTGGAGATTTTTATTAATTAAAAAAACAGAATAAGAATAATAAAGTACCAAAGAGTTGCAGAAGAAAATTTTAATCTGACAACTATGTCATTGTCGTACTGTAAATACATTTATAGAACAGAACTGCTCAAATTCATCTCTCCAAAAACTCCTTCGCTCTCTTTGAATTTTTTTATTCTTAATTTTAAGTGTTCTTTTTCACATTTAATTTCTTTGTTTAAATAAAAAGTAGTCGAGATGGCTTCATGTTACCGTCGTTTAACGGTCGATCCAGTGTTACCAAACATTCCGGTTCAACCGCCGAAGTTAAAACCAACGGTCAAGATTCCTGTCTTCCCTCTCGTGCCTTACAATAACCAACTGCTTGGAGGAATCGCTTTACAATCGAGAAAGTATTGGAGAGTGGAGGCTGTGGGGCCAGTAGGAAGATCGAAGGGAGGAGATGGCGCGAAGAAGACGGAAGCGAGACCAGGCCCGTGTTCTTACTCTGTGGGAGATCGGACGGCAGAGGTTGGGAGGAGAGAGAGGAATCGGGAGGTGGAGATGGTGGTTGCAGCGGCGGTGACTGTGTTGTTGGGAGTTGGGAATCGAGTGCTGTATAAGCTGGCTTTGATTCCTCTCAAGCACTACCCTTTCTTTCTGGCTCAGCTCGCCACATTCGGGTACCCAAAATCTCTGCATTATTGATTTGTTTTTTTTTTTTTTTAATTTATTTTAAAAAAAATTGTTCCTTGATCTTTATTAGTGTGCACGTATTTTTAGAATTTCTTTTTCTTAAGGATAATAATACGGCATAATAATATGATATACTGTGAAATTATAATAGAATATTTAATATTATATTTAAATTTTAAAAATATTTAATATAATTTATGAATTATAAATTTGTTAATTGATGAGGTATTTAAAAGGTTTTTTATTATCATCATTTAGTTATATTAAGTAAATATTATTTTAATTAATAAATTAAAATTTTGAGACATCACATTTAAAATTTTTTAAAATTTGAATACGATGTTAAATATTTTATTATAATGGGGGGGGGGGGGGGAGGGGGCGACGACACTAATTTTTTTCATGTGGATTTTTATTTCTGGCATAGCTTTGTTTGCTGTTTCCACGTTACTGTTAATATAGTGGTAAAAAAGTGGTTAAAAAGGAGTTAATGTTATCAATCTTCTCGGAATTAAATTATATTAAAATATTAAATGTAAAATTTAAAATTTTTTAATATAATATTTAAATTATAAATTTATTAATTAATATAATAATTAAAAAATTATTTTTAATCATATATTATCATTTAAAATTAATCACATTAAAAATAAATATTAAATGATAATATATGATTAAAAATAATTTTTTAAATATTATATTAATTAATAAATTTATAATTTAAATATTATATTAAATATTTTATTATAATTCAAAATTAACCCTTAAAAAATTATAGTGGTAAAATTTTTATCCCCAATTTTTTTTATTTTTATTCCATGCCTAGCCTTCTCGTGAACTTCCAATGCTTAAGATTTTTTATCAACAACAGAGCATGTGAAAAAAATGTTTTTTTTTCTTAGTTTATATTCGATGCTCTTGATATATAGATTTGATATATATATATATATAGAGAGAGAGAGAGAGAGAGATGTTATGCACTATTATAGTTTTTTGAAGAGGTGTCAACGTCATTCACAGATGCATCAAATATAAATTTTTTGTATGTTTTGTTCCCTTGTCTATTTCTCCTTCGCCGGCAATGGGGAAATTCTATTTGAGAAATTAAAAAAAAAATTTTAACGAACATTTTAAAGCCAAACTTGGCTGCTTGGTGAGAAGCAGCCAAAAGTTTTAATGGAATCGTTGTATGGTGAAGTGTGCCGTCCCCAAATGACCATTACCAATTCATCCACTTTTCGTGGTCCATGTGTTCCTTTTTATGGCCAATTTTCAATGCCCATTTCTTACTTTTTACCTCAAGTAAGAAAGATCTTCCACCCCTCGAAAGATATATGACAGTATAAAAACCAGAGATTCTCTTATAATTTTCCTATTTTACTACTAGTACTATTAAACCATTCTACCAAGTACTAACTTACTCCGCAATGAATGGGATCAATCAAATTTGTTTTTTAAAATCTTCAAATAGTTGAATAGAAAACCATCTTTACAATGTCAATATTGAATTAGGTATATGTTAGTAATTATATATGTTCACTAGATTATAATCTGTGTGATACACGAAATAATTTTACTTATTTAATATAGATATATATATATATATATTAGTTTCTTTTCAAAATTATATTTAAATCTTAAAACTCATAACATATATAAAATTTATATATATTGACTAATCATTAAAAAATAATTTTTTTGAAAACAGTAAGAAAAAAATTATGTCTTTCTTTTAGATATATTTGTTTACAATAATATTTATAAACTTGTAAGATTATATCAAATAAAAATAAATTATGCATTTCTTAAAAAAAATAAAAAAGGTATATTATTAAATGATAAATTAAATAATAAAAGAAGTATTAACATATTTCACTTTAGTAATCTTGACTAAATTATTATGTAAAATATGAAAAATGTTACAAAATATGTGAAAGAAGAAAAAATAAATTGAAAAAAATATTATTTTTCATAAAAATGAAACTATAATAACAATAAAATATATCTTGAAAAAAATTATAAACAAAAAAAATTTAAATAGTAATAGAATATATCTTGAAAAAAAATTATTGAAAAAATTTTAAAAGAATGATGTATAACATATTACATTTGTAATCTAAGAATTCTTTAGTGGAATTAGGATTAAATAGATAATTTTTAAATTAATTTTTTAAAATTTAAAATGGATACAATAAGTGATAAAGCTAATATTAAATTTTTCACAGTTATTTAAAATATAAATTTAATAATTAGAGTTTAAATGCATATAATTGTTTTGATGATTTTATTATTTAAAAATTTAGGATGAAAATTTTTTGAATTTTCAAAATCTTACATAAAGTTTCTTCAATTTTTAATGTCTTACGTAAATTTTTTTAAAAATTAATTTTTTAAATCAAGATAAAAAAATTGTTGAAAGATTTAGATAAACTTAATTTTTGTAATTTTTAAATATGTTTGAAAGATTTTAATAATTAAATAATTTTTTAAATAAAGTTATTTGATAAACAACTAAAATTATTTATTAAAAAAATAAAATCCATATTCTATATTTTTAATTTTAAAAAATATCTCCTTAAATTGATTTAATTTTTAATTATAATTTGAATAATTTTGATATTTGAGTAAATTTAAAATTATTTAATTTGTAATTAAAAGAAACTATCTTATTCTTTTAAAAAACTATTCTATATGTTATTTAAGAGAGTTATCCACATATGCGCCCATGTGACAAACTTGTTTATATATATTATTAGATAATATATATATTATTAGATATATACTATCATAGTTGAACATCTTAGTCTAAGCTTTTGCTTGGATAAAAGGATAACTATTTGAGCTTTAGATAGTTTGTGTTATGACTTCTTATTCTTTCATATTCACTACATGCTTAAGAGATGTTGTCAAATTATATAACCTAGAATTTTGTTTCAACAACCATTGATGGTGACTTAAACACTCTATGGGTAAATCATTGCGGTGAGGCCTGTTATACCCACTTAAATTCATTAGGGGAATTTTTTAAGACCAATGTTGATTTTTGCTTTGGAATATAAATTATGTGTAAAGTTATAGAGGGTTGCATGATTGACCTGCTTGTGCTCAGCTTTGGTTTGTGCATAAGAAAAATGTTACAGCCTTACAGGTAGTCTTACTACTTTTAGCAGATTTTCTAAGCTTTACTCATTTGAAACTAATATGATTTATATTTATATATATGACTTTCATAAGGCGAATGTGATTTTAGAATACCAGTGTTTTGCTCTTCATACCATTTTTGCGCATTATTTAAAGATTCTTATTGCTAATCTTCTTATTGCATTTAGATATTAAGGTTAATAGGAGAAAAAAAAAATCCATAAAAATGAGAAAAGGAACAAAATAGAATCGACATGGAAATATTAAGGTCATATTGATCTTTACAAGTGGTGGGTTCGAATGAAACAAAATCCATAGATGAGAAAAGGTATAATAATTAGCCAAAAACAAAAGAGATGAGGGAATCGAAAGACGGTTGTGCGGTGCCATGCATTGATTTCTATTATAGAGAAAGGGATTGATATGATATCATCACCAGGACTTACTACACTTGTGGTGGGTCAAGGTGGTAGCTTTGCCTTTATGTTTAGACACTGTCCCCTCTAGAGTAGCTTTTGTCCTTGATTTTGGTTTGTGGTCTTGGTCCTCTTGGAGCACCTTTTCTTTTTTGGCATTTTATATGGCAGTTTCTATTTTTTTTTTTTCAAAAAATATAGCAGTGTAAACTGTATTATACTTAAATAAATGTTAAATTTTTATTGAAACTAGTCACATATTGTTCATGTACAATTATAGTCCTTTTATTAACTTTTTCTGAATTATGGTTCTAAGCATATATATATTTTTGTTTGTAATGAAAAGAAAACATATTCTTATAAAATTTTTATAATTATTGTCAAAATAAATTTATATGTGTATGCGTGGTCACAACAATTATTATTGTGGATGTGCATCTTATATCAATGAATGAATGATGATATTAAATTTATTCAACAACTTTGAGTATGTTAATGTTTTGTGGATCTCAGAATTATTGTCTTATTCATACTAATATTTTAGTATTAAATTTTCAAAAAATATCTTAGATATTGTTTTTATATCTGATATAAACATATCTATATTTTAAAACCTCAATATAGTTACCAATTCCATCATTCAAGAATTATATGCACACAAATACATTTATGAAAACATGCAAACACAGTATTATATTATTAATTTTTTAAGGTTTATAAGTTTTGATTTTCTTTAGTACATCGTTTATAAGTTTCAAATGGAAAATATTAAATGCAAAATGTGTTAGAATTTTGAAAAAGTTTTGAGTAAATTATGTGAAAAGCCTTATAGTTTGATGATAGTTACAAATTGTTGTTAAAACCTTAAATCCTAGGCTATTGACAATGTTAAGCTCTTATTTGGGATCTTTACTACACATAAATTATTTCACCCCTTTTTTTTTTTTTTTTTGAAATATATTTTCTTAAGATTAAAAGAAGACAAATTAATATATACAGAGAAATATAACTATGAAACAGAAAATACTGAGCAAAATGTTAAAATTGCATTCAATTTTGCCATGATATTTGTAAATAAATCTTATTATATCTCTTATATGAAATCCTAAATTAACTATTGAATTGAAAGTCTTGACATTCTTTACATAATTTAGAAATTAATGAATGCAATAAATTCCTTTTCTTTGAACATGAATTTAATAAATACTTATTCTTACATATTCAAAGGAAAAAATATAATTAATTCTTCATTAGTCCTTCCATATGTTGGATAAAGACTCTATATTGTTACTAGCATAAAGTTTCAATTTCTATTAACTGTCAAAGAATCTGATGCCTTCCTAGACAAAAGGTCTATAATTGTTACTCAAACTCAATTTGAAAGTGAATATATTGAGGTTGAGTAGGTTTGACTCTACCTCTGAAACTTCTGTTTTGTGAAAAACCCTCTCTTATTTTACTCAAAACGAACTGTTTTTGAAGAAAAAATTGAAAATTTCCTCTTGTAATTTAAAAAGTTTGTTCAGGAGTTTAAAGAGAAAGAGAGTATTCACTCAAATTTTCTTGTTTCTTATATGCTAAATGAATATTAAAGCTGCTGATATTGTACAACCAATTGATTCTGTTAACTTAACAACAAAATATCAGTTAGGTGGAAACTTTATTCTAGGCTAATACCTCTGTCACTCTTGATTTGTTGCTTTCCAGGTATGTACTTGTATACTTTTCCATATTGTATCTCCGGTATCGAGCTGGTATAGTTACAGATGAGATGCTTGCCATGCCAAAAGCTCCATTTCTTGCTGTTGGCCTTTTGGAGGCACTTGCTGCTGTGACTGGAATGGCAGCTGGAGGTTAGCTCATGCTCAGATGTCTTCGGATGTCTACTTCACAAATTAATGTTTCTAGAACATCTTTGCAGGGTGATTTTGGAATATGTTTTGTGTGTATAAAATGTCTACTCTTTCTATTTAGAAAAATGAGACTCCAAATATGGGAGGGTCATCTATTTTATTTTGTTACTATTTGAGATGAGATCCCTTTTTGCTGGGGTCTTAGCATCTTGGTGGAGACAGTTTCTATGCTAATGTAGTTGTTAGAAGCTAGCTATTTGAGTTTTGAAAATTCTAAATACTCCTTGCTGATTTCTTAATATAATATGAATGTTTATGTTTCTTAGTTCTGGTCAGTAACGTCAGTTTTCATTGAATATTCACGTATTTGTGAAATGCCTTTAGTTCAATGGCTTTCAGACTTGCACCACCCTGTCTAAAACTAGTTCCCTATATTTATTTTCATCTTTTTTTGGCCGCAATATTTATTTTCTTAATTCATGTTTAAGTAAACATGAATTTTGTGGGAGTAAATAATAGAGTTTATAATTTTGTTGGTGCAGTAAATCCTAATATACATTTTTCTCTATCTTTGTTCAGCAATTCTATCTGGGGCATCTATTCCAATTTTGTCTCAGGTAAGAAACATTCACTGCTTATGTTCAGCATCAACTAGAAGAACCCCCATTTCACTAATGCACTAGTGCCTTTATTGGCCACAAATGTTGCTTTCAAATATGAATTGCTAAAGCCAAAAGTTCTTGATTTGAAGGCCAATTCCACCTCTATGCCTTAATGACAGAGGAATAATAATATTGTAAAACAAAAGCTTTTTGAGATAAATAATAGCTAGAATTATCTTTAAAAAAAGTAGATTTATACATATAAAGAAGTTGAACAATTCGAGAAGATGGTAAACCAAAATCTTTTTGAGATCAATAATAGCTAAAATAATCTTGAAAACAACCAAGTAGAATTATACATGTAAAGAACCAGAATAATTCTGCTAGTTGCTTTTTCTGTTTGGTTGATTTGTAAGGTTGTTTTAGGCTCTAAGCTTTTACTTGACAATTTTATAAAGAATGTAGCTGAATGAGCTCAATTATCACGCAATGCAAAACCTGTCCAAAGTTATTGGTCAGAAACGAAAATGTTTAAGGAAGAAGGCATGTTTTCATTTATATTCATCTGAAACAATACTTGATGCAGGTATACATGGGATTGGATAAGTTCCTTTTAGTATATTTCCATTCAGTGTTTTGTTGTCAAGTTCATTAGAGCTTGTAACACTAAACATTCTGATGCATAAGCACTGAATAGTTACTTTGTGGTCTATGACTTCTGCAGACATTTCTTGTGTGGCAAATTCTCCTGTCCATTATTTTTCTTGGGAGGAGATATAGAGTAAATCAACTACTTGGATGCTTTCTTGTAGTTGTTGGCGTAATCATAACTGTAGCAAGGTAACTTGTAACCATTTTGAATTCTAATCTTCAATTTATATATCTATTAATTTTGTTGGTGCAATTTCTAGGTGTCTCCTCAAACTACCTGGAATTCTCAAAACTTAACTGATAATATTGCAGTTTTTAGTGGATTTTAATTGCAGTCTCATGAAAAGTAGCACAGTCTTACAGGTATAGCTGGATGGAGAGGTTGGTATAAAAACTAAGGCTTCAAATCTCCTTTAAGATGATTAAAACAAAATAATGAAAACACTAGTTGACCATTTATTTCTTTAAACATTTTAGGAGTAGCAATGAAATTTTAGAAATACCATTCTTTGTCTTCTTGTATGACAACCTTGGAAGTTGAAGGTCTCTGTTTTAGCTTACAAATTGCAATGCCAATCTTTATAACTGTGTGAATAACTTTCTGTTTTTAATGGTAAATTGAATTGTTCATTACCGATTGGTGAATTTGTTCCTAAAGGTTTGTTTCAATTAGAGGGCAAAGTCTTGTTGTATTCCTTTGACAAGAGCATTAAACCAATTGCTTGATATATGTCAGAAAAAGAAATATTTAAGATGATATTTTCCTGGTGGCATCGATGTTGACTACCTTCTTCCTCCATTTGTAAGGCCAGCTGAACCAGTCATTGATCTTTCTTTTAGCATCATAGCTAATTCATATTATTTTAGTGTCATATTCTGTATGAATCTACTAATTTTGAAGGCAAATCTGTATTATAGTTGCTAACATTATTTAGATTTAATTCAAATAATACAGATATACTTTTATTAGTTTCAAGCTCCTTCTAGATGGGTGGCCAGTATGGTAGGAGCTGCACTCTCCACCTATCCAAATGGAGCCTTAATTAATTGTGGTGATTTAAGACACAGTCACAACCTTTTTATAATGTCTAATTTACCAGTTTTCTTATAATGATTCTTCCAGTTCCAGAGACTGAGAATTAGATTTATTGCCTATGTTTACTTCTGCAGTGGATCCAGCAGTGGTCATTCATTGAAGGAAGCTGGGATATTTTGGAGTCTATTGATGATAGTTTCTTTTTTGTTGCAAGCAGCTGATACTGTTCTTAAGGTTGTTGGGTTTCTTACTGAAATCTGAGTAGCTAACAATTTCCAAGTTCTATATAACGCATTCATGTAACATGTGATATTTAATCATTTGCAGGAAGTAATCTTTTTGGATGCCGCACAGCGATTAAAAGTATGATGTTTACAGTTGGAAAGTCCCTGTATTTTGTTGGTCAAATTGAACATAAACAGTTGAGAAAATTTTGTGTGAGAGCATGCATTGTATTAAAGAATATTTTCTTGCATTTGTTGCAGGGTGGTTCAGTAGATCTATTTGTTGTAAATTCCTCTGGTTCTGCATTTCAAGTAAGTACCTTGTACTGAGTTACAGTACTAGGTTCTGTGGCAATTTTTACTTAAAAGTCTCCTTTTAATGGTCTTTTTATTTTGGATCTTGGTTGGATGTTAATGTGATTGTACCATGTTTAGTGCAGGCATTATTCATTTGCCTACTTCTACCCTTTTTATCAAAACTTTGGGGCATTCCATTTAGTCAGCTTCCAAACTATCTTAAAGACGGTGCAGCTTGCTTCTTGAACATTAGTGGTACTTTATCAAGTGGTAAGCCATCATAATTGTTTCATTATCTTCTATCTACTGTAAACGTCTGCCGATTCCATTCTGAGGAGTGTAGGCAATGATTGCATTTCAAATGGAAGGCATAGTGTGCCATGAATATGCCCATAAATTGCACGTCATACCTCATGCAAGAAATAGAGACATATTTTAGAAAATTTTACTAGTAGAGGGCTTGGATCCCAACTGATGAGCACACATGAGATAAAAGTTTGCTCATCATCAGATTCAGACCTTGGCTGAGAGAGAAAAAGCTTTATAGTTCTTAATACTGTGTATTAAACATCTTAGAAATATCAAATATGAAGTAAAAACGTTGATAAGGATAAGGAAAAAAATGTTTGTGATTTGACATAAAAAGTAAAGTATCACCTCTGAAAACAAGCATGTTTCGACAGTGATAGAAATTTGATTTTGTCCTATCAGTAATTGTAGTCTTTTGCACCAATAAAATTCTCAAACAGAGATCCAGGATACCTAGATAAAACCAAAGATCAAGAAAGGGGGATATTGTTGCACATCCATAAGAGAAAAGAATTGATGGAAGTTCTATTTGTTACTTATAGAGTTGGCTTGCTACTCAGATTAACCGTTCCATTTTAACCTCTGTTGTGACTGGATTGTGTTTTGAATGGAGTGATTTAGTTACTTCAAAATTTTGGTGGCTGCAGGATGTGATGGCGCACCACTACTGCCTTTGCTGTTTGTTATTGTCAACATGGGGTTTAACATATCATTGCTGCATCTCCTAAAGATATCTTCTGCTGTGGTTTCTTCACTTGCATCCACTTTTTCAGGTATGTCTTTGTTTTTCCTCCATTATCCTTTTCAATATCGGTTTATTAGTTGCAGGGGACTGATTTGATCAAATCTCCACTTTATCTATATGCCTGTGTCCATGCTTCTAATATATTAATATATATATATATAAATATAAATATAAACATAAACATAAATAAATAAATAAATAAATATATATATATATATATATATATATTAGTTTTAAAGTTAAGCATGCATAATTGGGCACTGCCTAGTTGTGTGGCAAGATTTGAACCCGAAGCTTGCACTGTGCAAACATTTTAACAGTGCTCATGTGCTGTAAGTTAATTTGATAAATCTGATTTGGCTACTATAAATGCCAGTATGCTGCTCTAAATAGGAGCCTTTCTCTCCCAGGAATACATAATTAAATAGATAACAATCTGCTGTTGGTTTGTATGATTGAAATTTTGTTGCGGAACCTGCATTGCAGTGCCTATTTCAGTCTATGTTTTCACACTGCCGCTACCATATCTTGGTGTTCCGTCGTCGCTTCCAACCGGTTTTGTTGCAGGAGCAATCATCCTTGTGATGGGGTTGCTTATCTATGCTTGGTCACCATCTGGTTCCACCAGTGCCTTGCCTTCACCTTCACCTTCACCTTCACCTTCACCTTCACCTTCTGGGTAGAATGTGATAATCCATTGTTATCATCAATTGCCTTATCTCCTTCAAGAATGTGATTATCGTCATCATCATAATTATCAATGTCATAGTGACTAGAGCATGTCGGGCCCTCCAATCGTCAGAAATACGGTAGGAGGAAGGAGAACGTTCTTCTTTGTTGTAAAATGCTTGGTTCCTTAGTGTGCATCATGCACCTCTATATTCAAGCGGAGGGGAAAAAAGAAAACTAAAAAAAAAAAAGAAGAAAAGGAATGAAAGTAAAATTTGGTGAGAGGTAGAGACTTAATCAATTCTAGTCGTTTGACAAAAATAGGAAATCGAAGTGTATCATTTAACAGAATGTTAGGAAGAATGGATTTCGTGAAGCAATATTATGAGTTCATTTTCTACACGTTCTTATGATTTTTTTTTTTTTTAACAAAAAAGTTGAAGCTAATGGGAATTTATGAGCTTCGAGGATTGAACTTTAATCTTCGTTTTTTAAAGAATGAACTAAATTTTAAGTTGTTCATGAAGGTTTTTTAAACTTAATAAAAGGTGTTAAAAACTATCATATGTTTTTCCTTAATTAAAATTTAAAATTACGCAAGATATATTAAAATAAAAAAATTATTTGATAAATTAATAGTAAAATTTTTTAATCTTATAAGTAGGATGAAAATAATAATATTATTTTAAATTAATTTTTTTTATTTTTTTAAATATGTTAAAAAATATGTGTTATTATTTTAATTTCGTTTATTAAATTTAACAAATTTTACTATAAATTTTAAAAAATATTATATAAAATTTACACTTATGATTATTTTTATATAATTTTAATTATAACTGATCTATGAATGCATATGATGTCCTCCGTGGTGAAGCACAATTAATGACTCAAAATAGAAAAAGGAAAAACAAAGTAATCATTACTTTTGCGATAAGATTTGACTCTCCGTTCCGTATTTGTAAATTGTTTATTCGTTTTAGCATTCCGTGTAAAAAAGAAAAAGTTTGAGTGTTCATTTTTCAAATGAAAACAGAGTATTTTTAACTGGGGTGATTTGGCAAACTCATCCATCATTGAATATTTTTATATTTTAATTAAATAAATGCACAAACGATGCTGAGGGATAACTTTTTATGTAAGAAATAGAAAATATTTTGATATTTTTTGAAATATTTATATATTTTTAGCAAACATTGATAAAAAGATTTGGTCCAGAAAAATGACAAAAAAAAAAAAACAAAAGGAGTAAGGCAAAGAATTGGACATCTGAAGATTTTTTGAAATTTAAAGAAAAAAAACTATTATCAATAAATCAATTGCCAAGGACAGAGTATCTGAGGTTTTATTAATTGGATCCGAAAATCAATGTACTGTATTTTTTTTATAATTTGTAAAAAAAGTTCATTAATTGAAAAATACTATTTCTCTGTTGTGCATTCAGAAGTTTATTTTTGGAGCGCTCTTACAAAGAACAAATCTTTAATAAGAAAAAAAAATTCTTCTCACTTTTTAATTTCCATCCCATACTATTTTTCATTTTATTTTTAATTTTGGCATTTAAAGGGGAGAAGGAAAAATAAAAAGAAACATAGGTCGGTGCTCTCTTTCTCTTATTCCTACCCAGAGACCGCAAAAAAAAAAAAAAAAAAAAAAACCTATTTATTCCTTTTCTCACTGTTCTTCTATTATTTTTGAAGATCTCTTCACTTCAGTTTTGGTTTTATTCCGTTTCTCTCTTCAGATTTTGAAGATTCAGTTTGGTTTTCTTTCCGATTCAGCTAATAGGTGCGTAACTAGAAACCCAGGTATATATTTATGGAATTTTTGGCCGATGATTTAAACTTCTAATTGAACTTTCTTCAATCGATACATTTATTTATTTTAATTTTTTGTTGATTCGACAAATTTAGGGTATCTGCTTTTTTAAGCTATATGATGTTTGGCTTCTCAGAAAGAAAAAAAAAAGTTTGAGATGATTTTGTTTAATTCTTGCTCGTACTTTCAAAACTATGATTAATACTGATAGATTTGAACCGAAACAGAGTTTGATTTTAGGTTAGGTTTTTTCTAATCCCTAATTATTCCGTTTTTCAATTGATTAATTATTATATGATCTAATACTTTAATTTAACCTGTAGGTGTGTATGTATTATGGTTGTGGAATTTCATCTTGGAATATTTTTGAAAGAAAATTAATTAATCCATTTGTGCCGATTAGGAGACTTTGCAATTGTTGATCCTAATTGGGATTTAGGAATACCAGAAGCTATAAAATTTTAGGGGAATTTTTTTAATCAACCTGTTAGAATTAAAAAAATATATATATACTATAAGTTTTGAAGGTCCTATGATTCCTTTAGTAACTCAATAGTAAATAACAAGATTAAGATTATAGCTTTTGAATGATAAAAATTCGAATTTTGTTCTTGTACTTTTAGTAGTGAAACATCATACAAGTCATTACTAGAAAGAAGGAGAAAAGCAGCCCAACAAGCATAGATTAGTCAGCAGTGCTGCATTCGTTTATATACTTATTTATTCAATTCTAATCAAATATCGTTTCACTTTTTGTTAATTGCTTCTGCTTTTTAGCAACTTTTAAGGAACCAAATGAAAATAGTAAAAGGCATAAAATTGATAAAAACAATGACAAAGCAACATTCAAATTGAGCTTATTTGATAATTGTTTTTTGATATGTTGATTTGAGCAGAGTAATTGTTGCAATGGGAAAGAAAAAACAAGAGGAGAGTGCTGCTACTGCTAAAGTTAAGGGAAGCAGCAAAGATGTGAAAAAGGAGAAACTCTCTGTTTCAGCTATGCTTGCTAGCATGGACCAGAAACCTGAGAAAACAAAGAAGGGGGTGTCTTCTTTTAGCGCTTCTTCAGCTAAACCAAAGGCAAAGGGTCCAAAGGTTTCATCTTATACTGATGGAATTGATCTCCCACCGTCAGATGAGGAGGAGGATGAGTATGCCTCTGAGGAAGAACAAACTCAGTCTAACAGACACCAGAGGCAGGGCTTGAGGCCACTTGATACCTCCATAAGTGAAAAGGAACTAAAGAAACGTGAAAAGAAGGAAATGCTTTCCGCTCAAGCTTCCGAGCTGGCGAAACAGGAGGCCCTTAAAGATGATCATGATGCTTTCACAGTGGTTATTGGTAGTCGGGCTTCTGTCCTTGATGGTGAGGATGAAGCTGATGCTAATGTCAAAGATATAACCATAGACAATTTCTCTGTATCAGCTCGTGGGAAAGAGCTTCTAAAGAATACCTCACTTAAGATATCACATGGTAAAAGATATGGTTTGGTTGGACCAAATGGGATGGGCAAGTCTACCTTGTTAAAGCTTCTTGCTTGGAGGAAGATTCCAGTGCCAAAAAATATTGATGTGCTTTTGGTTGAACAGGAGGTGGTTGGTGATGATAGAACTGCCCTTCAGGCAGTTGTTTCTGCAAATGAAGAGCTACTTAGGCTTCGAGAAGAAGTTTCAGTTTTACAAAATTCATCTTCAGCTCCTGGAGGAGAGGATGACAGTGATCTTAATGGGGATGATGCAGGAGAAAGGCTTGCAGAATTGTATGAGAAGTTGCAGATCTTGGGTTCAGATGCTGCTGAAGCTCAGGCATCAAAGATTCTTGCTGGGTTGGGTTTCACCAAAGAAATGCAAGGTCGTCCCACCCGGTCGTTTAGTGGTGGCTGGAGGATGAGAATATCTCTAGCTAGGGCACTTTTTGTGCAACCAACTCTTTTGCTGTTAGATGAACCGACTAACCACCTTGACCTTAGGGCTGTTCTTTGGTTGGAGGAATATTTATACCGCTGGAAGAAAACATTGGTGGTTGTTTCTCATGATCGAGATTTTCTTAATACTGTTTGCACTGAAATTATTCATCTCCATGATCTCAAGCTCCAGTTTTACCGTGGAAACTTTGATGATTTTGAATCAGGGTATGAACAGCGTCGTAAAGAGATGAATAAGAAGTTTGAAATTTATGAGAAGCAGGTAAAAGCTGCAAAAAGGTCAGGGAACCGAGTTCAGCAGGAGAAGGTAAAAGATCGAGCAAAGTTTGTGGCAGCAAAAGAAGCAGCAAAGAACAAGGGAAAGGGCAAGATTGACGAGGATGAAACTCCAGCTGAGGCCCCAAAGAAGTGGAGAGATTACAGTGTGGAGTTCCACTTCCCTGAGCCTACTGAACTAACACCGCCTCTTTTGCAGATAATAAATGTAAGCTTCAGTTATCCTAATCGGGACGATTTCAGGCTCTCAGATGTTGATTTGGGCATTGATATGGGTACTCGAGTTGCCATTGTTGGGCCCAATGGAGCTGGTAAATCTACTCTCTTGAACCTTATTGCTGGTGATCTGGTTCCAACAGAAGGTGAAGTACGAAGGAGTCAGAAGTTGAGGATTGGGAGGTATTCACAACACTTTGTAGATCTACTAACTATGGAGGAGACACCAGTGCAGTATCTTCTTCGTCTTCATCCAGATCAAGAAGGACTTAGCAAGCAGGAGGCAGTACGAGCGAAACTTGGGAAATTTGGACTTCCCAGCCATAATCACCTCACTCCAATTGCAAAATTATCTGGAGGACAGAAAGCTCGAGTTGTTTTTACTTCAATTTCCATGTCAAAACCTCACATATTGCTATTGGATGAGCCCACAAACCATTTGGACATGCAAAGCATAGATGCTTTGGCTGATGCACTAGATGAGTTTACTGGTGGAGTTGTCCTCGTAAGTCATGACTCTCGGCTCATATCACGTGTCTGTGAGGATGAAGAGAAGAGTCAAATTTGGGTGGTAGATAATGGGACTGTGGACACTTTCCCTGGTACTTTTGAAGACTACAAAGACGAGCTGCTAAGAGAGATTAGAGCAGAAGTTGATGAGTGATGCGGCAGTTAATGTATGTATTGAATTTTCCATAATATTTATATTTAGCTATATAAATGAATTAAGACCTGCAATTTTCTTCATATTAATTTTTCTGGAAAAAAATGTGTCCACCTGTATTGCAGATTTGTTAGAAATTCAGAGCCTAGGAATTTGGCGTTGTAAGCTAGGAATAAACCAAGCTCGTATCAGTTACTAAGTTATATTTGGTGGTGTACTTTTGTTGGTATGAAATTCTTTTTCAGGATGTTAGAATTGTTATTTTTTTCCAGAATATAGAGTCTGTTTGCATTAGATAAGCGGAAGCTTCTGCAGAAAGGCTTGCATGCCATTTTGATGATGTTTCCAAAAATTTTCCATATTTCGTCATACAATTTTTTGGTGGGCTTATATAAGTCACTTTTCGGTTTTCTTTTTTAATCTTTTGTTCTCAGTTTTCTCTATTATAAATCTTTGCTGAACTGCAAAAATAATAGATCATTCAACAGATTTGATTAGAACATATATTTTTGTGAGCTGGAAAGCAAGCTCATTGCCTCATGGCTGTGTTTATTGGAATTAAACAAGGAATATTATATGTACGAACCTCCTTGTGACATTACAAGGAGTAAAATATATATATAACTGGGTTACTCTTTGAGCCTATTCCCATTCCCCTAACATTATCACAACAAATTATCAGGCGGATTTAGGATTTTTAGAAGGCGTTTATTTATAATATATAAAAAATTATAAATAAAAATGTAAAATAATATATTGTTATATTATTACAATTATACACAATGGGTTTTTATATCGTAAAAAAATATAATTGCATCATTTATCATAATTAATACCATCAAATATATCTTTCTTAATATATATAATTAAATAATTATTTACCAAAAATATCTAGGAGAAATGGCCTTAAAATTTTTTTTTTTTTATTTCCTACACCAACACCTGTATCAGCCCCAGCAAATTATTGTACATTTTCAATTATGAACAAATCCAAGTTCTCATCTTTCTCATAGCCTGTTGGCCAAAAAGAAAAAATCCTTCTCATAGCATGTTTCTTTGGTTTGCCTGCGGCTATTTCATCCCCTATCTTGACCTATCGGCTAAGCTTTTGCTAGGAAAGGCCACAAAGTATACACTCGAACTGCATCTTATGTTCCTCCAACAATACATCACTTACTTGGCGTTCATCAAAGATCACGAAACGTCGAAGCCATTTTAAAAGCAGTAAAATCCTGATATTAATTGTTTCCTTGACTCAAGAAATTGGCATCAATGCCATATACTAATTAGTATCCAGCTTTGTCCGCACCCGCCCCTGCACATGCCATGTTTAGTCCTCGCTAAAGAAGTCGCCAGGTATAAGTGAAGGTTCAGGTTGAACGGGAGCGAGGAGAAACAGATGTATTCTAAGTTTAAGCTATGGTGAAAAAAAAAACACTCAGCCTATCTTAAGTGATGTTACTATTTCAGGAAAAATAAGTAAAATAAAACAACATACTAGGGTTGATAAACAGTTCTTTAAAAAAACCACTATCAGTCACTAATTGTCACGTTTGAAATATATATCCATTGACAAAAAAAACTTTAAAATTTTAATTTTAATGTTTATAGCTTAAATTGTTAGAGATTTTTAAAATAAAATATGAAAAATAATCTCACATTGAAAAAAAAAAAAGACAGATAGTTAAATATGTTCAAAATAGAAAGATAAATTTGGTTCAAAATGAACAGTTTCAACTGTTTTAAAATACAGTTTTTATCTATTCAAAATAAACAATCATGTCTGTAGAAAAAGATACTTATCTGTTTATAAAAAGCTCCTCTAATTTTTTGAAAATAGACAAAAACAATACTTGAAATTCTCTCTCTTTCTTCAATCTTAAGATTTTTTTTTTATAAAAATTTTGCTGCAGAAAATATTTATAAAAGTTCAGTGACCTTGTGATACATTGGTGATTACTCGGTGGATTGATTTCATCAGCATAAAACGCAATCAATCATTGAATTTCATTAAAGTTTATTATCTGTAATTCTTTTACACACCTACTAATTAAATAATAAAAAAAGTGACACCATTACACGTCTTAAAGCCTTTCGTCAAAATTTCATATTTACTAGAAGCAGTAATTCTAGTTTTTCAGTGTTTGCTCCAACAATCTTAAAGTTTTATTCATTTCAACATTGGCTATTGGAGCAACGCTTAGGGAATTGGCTTCTAGTTTTATCAAATTGGATCATTTTGATGGTGGTAAATTTCGAAGATGATAAAGAAGATGTATTTCTTGCTTTCAAACTTGAAGGGTGTATATGTTCTGATTATTTTCATGCTAGAAGAAAATGAAATAGAAGAATTTGTTGCTACATAAGAGAGATGTAGAAATGGGATAATGAGGATTACATGTGTAAAAGTCATATTCTAAATAGTTTGTCGATAGCTTGTTTAATACCTACCAAAACAAGGCTATTGCAAAGGAGTTATGGGACAAATTGGAGATTAGGTGTATGACCAAAGATGCAACAAGTAAAAAATTTCTCGTTAGTCATTTTAATAATAATATTATGGTTGATGGATGTTTTATGATTAAACAATTGTGTGAAATTGAAAGAATATTTAATCAGTTTAAACAATATAATATGCGTATAAATAAAACAATTATTGTGTTCTTTGCTCCATCATGAAAAGACTTTAAAAGAAGTTTGAAACATAAAAAAGAGTAAATCGCTCTTCAGGCTTTGGCTAATCATCTTTGAATTAAAGAGGTATACAGAAAGCAAGAATCAAATTTTGGTTCTGGTGATGCTAAAGTTCATGTTTTGGAGGAAAGACATACTACAAAGCTTGATAAAAAGAAGTTCAAGTTCAAGCAGACTGCTAATGGGCTTAAATTCAAGAAGAATAAGAAAGGTTCATGTTACCATTGTGATAAGCCATGACATTTCAAAAAAGAATATCGGTTGCTACAGAAGAAAAATAATTTCTCAAAAAGAGATACTTATAGAAAATTTGTTGCCATAATTTTTAAGATCAACATGCTTGAACATGATGAATCTTGGTGGGTTGATTTTAGGGTAACAAAACAAATGTGTAAGGACAAAAGCATGTTTACAACATTCAAACCAAGTGAATATGGCTGTGTCCTCTACATGAGAAAATTTCTTATAGCAACAATCAAAGGAAAAAAGACCGTTGATCTTAAATTCACTTCTGAAAAAGCTCTAACTTTAAATGATGTTTATTATGTGCCAGAAAATAGGAAGAACTTAGTGTTTGGAAGTCTACTAAACAAGTTTAGCTTTAAACTTGTATTTTAGGTGGGTAAATTTATTCTATCTAAGGAATAAATTTTTGTTGGAAAATGGTATATGTATGACGAAATGTTCAAATTCAATATTATTAATAGAAATAAGAATGCTATTTCTACTTACATGGTTGAATCTTTATATTTATGACATTATAGATGAGGTCATTTAAATTTTAGAAAATTGCATGATATAAGTAAGTTTCTGTTAATTCTTGAATTTAGTCAAGACATTAATAAATGTAATACATGCATGTCGACTAAGATTACCATAAATTCTTTTCCTAAGGTTAAAAGAAATACAAAGTTATTTGAGTTAATTTACAGTGATGTTTGTGATATGCATAGCATTCCTACATTATTTAGAAAAAAAATATTTTATCACATTTATAGAAGATTGTACTAGATATTATTATGTTTATCTATTATATTTCAAAAATAAAATACTTGATAAGTTTAAAATATATAAATATGAAGTTAAATTTCAGTGTAAATCTTTTATCAAGTGCTTGAGGTCGGATAAGGTTGGAGAATATTATAGTCCAAGTTATTTTGAATCCATTGGAACAATTCACTAAGTTATTGCTCCTTATAAACCACAACAAAATGGTGTAGCTAAAAGGAAGAATAAGGTCTTAACAAAAATAGTAAATGCAATGTTATCATATTTTGGTCTTGGACAAGGATTTTGGGGTGAAGCTTTGTTAACAGCTTGTTTTATACTAAATAGAATTTCTAACAAAGAAACAAAAATAACCTCAAATGAGCAATAGAAGAAAATAAAACAAAATCTAAATTATTTAAAGGTTTAGGGATATAGAGTTGTAGTAAAAATTCAAGAACCCAAAAAGAAAAAAGGTTAGGTGAAAGAGGAATAGAATGTATATTTATAGGATATGCACAAAATAGTAAAGCATATAAGTTTATGGTTATTGAACTAAATGATTCAATTTCAGTTAATGCTATTATTGAATCAAGAGATGCAATGTTTGATGAAAATAGATTTAAATATATTTCAAGACAACTACAAGCAATTCATCCTACAAATGGAAAAGAAATTCCAAATCCATTGGAACAAATTAAAGTTAGTGATGAATTTTGTCAATAAATAAGGAAAGTAAAAAAGTTAGGAAGGCAAAAGATTTTGGATAAGATTTTGTTTATGTTCTTTATTAAAAGGACTAGTGAAAGCATAAATAATAAAATTTTTTATTATTTTAATAAGGAGTCTGATCTTGTTATATATGAAAAGGCAATGAAGTCTCAAGATTTTACTTTTCGAAAAAAAGTAATAAATGATGAAATGGACTCAATAATGGGAAATAACACTGGGATTTTAATTAATTTTCCACCAGGTTTTAATCCAATAGGGTATAAATGGATTTTCAAAAAAAAAAAATAAAGGTGGATGGAATCATAGATAAATTTAAAGCAAGGTTGATAGCCAAGGGCTTTACACAAAAGTAAGGGATAAATTACTTTGATACTTATGCTTCAGTAGCTAGAATTGCTACAATTAGGCTTTTAATTTCACTTGCCTTGATTTATAATTTGATTATACATCAAATGGATGTAAAGAAAGCATTTTTAAATGGTGAATTAGAAAAAGAAGTTTATATGGAACAACCAAAAGGATTTATTATTCTAGGTCAAGAGCATAAGGTTTGTAAACTTGTAAAGTCCTTGTATGGACTTAAGCAAGCACTAAAACAATGACACCAAAAGTTCGATGAAATTGTTCTTGCTAATGATTTTAGAATTAATGAGTCAGATAACTACATATATAGTAAATTTAAAAATTGCAAAGGAGTTAAAATTTGCTTATATGTGGATGATATGCTAATATTTAGCATTGATTTAGAACAAGTTAAAGAAACAAAAAAAATTTTATCAAATAACTTTTTAATGAAAGATATGGGTGTAGCGGATGTTATTCTTGGAATCAGAATAATTCAGAATGAT